CAACTCACGTCCTCCTTGATCGCCCGCAAGATCTGGCCAACCTCGATCCCATCTTGGTAGTTTGGGTTCGTGCCCCGAGGGGCGCAGATTTGGATCCATGTCTGCTGCGATGCGAACCAGCACGGCACCTTCTCAGCAAACGAAACATTGTTTCCTGTAGTAATGAGCATCATCGCTGCACTTCGAAGGAAAACCCAAATGTCACCACTCTATGGTACAGGCTGTCGCACTTCGAATGCTTGAGCCAGTATTGCTATGATCCGCCGCCTGGCGATCGTGCTTACTTGTTTGATGGCTGTTGCTTGCTGTTGGGTGTTTGTTAAGTTTTACATCCATGTACGACTGTTTGACACTTAGTTGTTGCACTGTCGTTTGATGTTCGGATATCGGTTTGTTCTTTTGTCGGTCACTGTATGCTGGCGGCAAAGACACTGATTGGGGTCCACTGGCGGCAAAGACACTGATTGGGGTCCACGCCAGCGAGCATTTGTAGTCACTGTTTAGTGCAAATGTTATTGCGCCCCGCTGTGTGTTGCATGTTGCTCCAATAACTCGCTGATTGGGGTCCACGCTGGCGCTCCCGGGGCTTGGTGATGGAATGACGTGCGATGATGATGATGATAATCAGGTTCGAGTTGCACCCATGTTAACCTCGCCTCCCAACGGCAAAGAACAGACTAAGTCAAACGAGGCACGACGCATGCAACATATACGACGATTGACACACAATCTAACAACTGCTGCAAGCGGGCATGCATTCTGGCAACCCTTAAAGTTGGGCACACTGCGATCTCCGATGGCGCCCTGCTGCGCCTCGATGGTGTAGTCAGTACTGCACGTCTCCGAGTTGGTCTTGCCTCGCCTCGATCTTGTAGTTCACAGTGAAGACCACGTGGCGCGAGCCCTGCACGAAACCCTCACGGACGTTCTGCTGCCACACCTGTTTGAACATCTCCTTGACGGGCGGGGGCGTGCTGGAGCGCGTAGCGTAGACGTGCGTGACCTGGATGGCGGCGCGCCTCTCGCGAGGCTCCCCGCGGATCAGCTTCGCCGCATGCGCGGCAGCGTCGTCGAGCTTGCGCTTCTTGTCATTGGCCACCGCCGCCGCCGCACGGCTGCCCTCGGACTCATCGCGGGTCAGACGCCGCTGCTCGGCGCCATCGACGACGATCGGGCCCGCCGGCTGCGCCGCCCGTTTCGGCGCGGCGGCCGCCGCCGCCGACGACGGAGGCTCCGGCGACGTCGGCGTGACCTCGCCCACGTCGTTCGGCGGCTGCGCCGTTGCCGCGGCCGCCGCCGCTGCCGAAGGTGGCGGCGACAAAGACTTGGCCTTCGCCGGCAGCGGCGCCGCTGCCGCCGGCGCCGTCGGAGCCTTGGCCTCGGCGGGCGACGGTGATTTCGTTGCCGACGGCGAGTGTGACGCCGCTGCCGGCGGCGCCTGCGGCGCACTGTCCTCGACGATCACCGTCTTGATCTGGCCGCCCAGCTTGTTCAGGATAGGGGAGGGCGGCACAACATCGCGATGTTGCGCCATGGGCCGCGCCACAGCGCGGGGCGGCGGCTGCGACGTGGGGGGGCTGTCCTCATCAACTAGCGTATCAGCCTCGGCGCCAGCCGCGATGAAGGAAGCGTGGCTGCACTGCGGGATGATGCAATCACCACTGCGAAACGTAAGAGCGTCGCTGTCGGCAAAGCCAAGCTGGCTACCATCAATGCCGCCGAGGCCGTCCACGAGAGAGTCCGACATGCCGATGTCGATCTGAGACTCCTGCGTCATGTCGAGACGTGCGATGCCTTATAGTTTAAGGTAAGGAGATGCAGCTAGCCAAGTGCCAGCTCTGTCACGCCAGTGGCCAAATTCGTGCCAAAATGGGCTACGATGAGGGACATAGGAGGTGCGTAGTGGAGGAGGTGGTGACGGGAGTGGAGGACGCCCCGCGCGTCGACGGGCTCTGGGGGCGACGCCGAGCGACGATGTCGGGCTCAGCATGGCGGCCCCCGACCTCACGAGGCCTTAGACCCCCATCCCCCCGCTATATTCTCGAGGTTTCCCGACCTCCACTGGGGGGCATCTGAGATCGGAAGGGGTGAGGGCGGCCTGGGGCGTCTGACTGGCAGAAGCGAGTTGCTGGCCAGCAACTCGTTTCTGCCAGTCAGGGGCGCCCCCGACTGGCAGAAACGAGTTGCTGGGCCCCCTCGCGGCTGGCAGAAATGAGTTGCTGAGCAGATTTCGTGCCCCAGCAATTCGTTTCTGCCAGTCAGGGGCGCCCCCGACTGGCAGAAACGAGTTGCTGGCCAGCAATTCGTTTCTGCCAGTCGGAGCCTCTGCGTGGCATTCGGGGGCGCTCCCGACTGGCAGGCCCTCGGGGGCGCTCCCGACTGGCAGAAATCGGGGGCGCCCCCGACTGACGGGACATCGGGGGCGCTCCCGACTGGCAGAAATCGGGGGCACTCCCGACTGAAAGGGCTGACCTGGACTGGCCACTGGACTCGGACACCCCCCCCGCCGGCAGGTGCAGACTGGAGGTGGAGGAGGAGGAGGGGGATGATAACAGCGATGATGACTGATGACGAGGGCGTTTTTGTTTCCCAGCGCGCCCGGCGAGGGCTGAATCGTCGCGATGCACACCGATGCGCCTAATTAAGGACGCAACGATCTAGGTCCCCAGGGCGTGTTGTGTCTAAGGCGCCTCGGCGGCATCCATGGCAGACTTCAGGAGGCGCTGGGCGACCGTCTTTGTATACCCATTGCCGATCATGGCGCCGAGGGTGTGGTTGGACACATCTGAAAAGTCCATGAAAGCAATCTCATCGGTGGTGAAGCCCTGCAGCCGCATCATCTCTTTGCAACTCAAGCGCTTCGCCGTCTGCAGGTCCATGTGCGAGATGCCCTTGCACCTCGTCGCCGTGAGACACGGCGAGTAGCCGATTCCCATGTTGAGTTTGGAGCTGCCCATGTCGATGATGACGCCGTAGTCCGTCGCCTTCTTCCCCTCATCACGGGCCATGGCCTTGATGATCCCCAAAGCTTTAGAGATGTGCGCCTGGACCATGGGGCTGAACCTCTCTAGGGGGTAGTTGCTGTAATTCGCGAAGGGTGGTCGTGGCTGGTCGTAGATGATGCCCAAGTCCAGGTGGTCAACATCCGACGGCCACTCGAATGTCACACTGCTCCGACCCATGCGCTTCACAGCCACGATGTAGAGGCGCTCCCTGCTCTGCGGCGCGCACCCGACGTGCAGCGAGTTGAGGGTATTCATATACACGTCGTAGCACTGCCCCCCAGTTGCACGGTCTATGATGGCCTTGATCTTCTTCACGATCGCGTTCAGTGTAGCCTCGTGCTTCTGAGCCATGCCTTTCACGTTCTCCAGCATGACCGCGCGAGGCTGTTGCTTCTCGATGTACGCAGTGATGTACTTCCACAAGTTGCCGCGGGGATCGTTCGCGCCTCCATGGCGGCCAGCTAAGCTGAAAGGTTGGCAAGGGAATCCGCCCGTCAGGATATCCACGTAGGGGGCCTGGTCCACGAAGCCACGCGAAAGGTCGGTGTACTCCTGGCCTACTAGCACGTTTGCCCTCAGCCACGCCTGAGCAGACTTGTCGCACTCGCACCAGAACTCGAACTCGAAGTTGCGAGACCCGATCGCCTTCAATGCCCAGTGGTCTGTCCCCATGCCCGAGCAGACCGAGCCCACCTTGATGCAAGAAGGCAACGAGAAGCAACCGTGAGCCCCTGGATGGTAAGCGGCTGGCTTTTGAACGGGCTTGCTCGTGACCGGTTTCTTGAGCTTCTTAACCTCAGACTTCGACGGCTTAGCTCTAGCTTTAGGCGTGCCCTTGCCCCTAGTAGCCTTAGTGAACTTAGTCTTGCCCTGGGCAGCGCCGCGCGCCGTTGGACCGTTAGCTGATGATGATGTCAGGCCCATCACGGCCGAGCCCCAGTCCATGTCCATATCGCCGGCGGTGGTTTACCCGCCACGCGGCGACTTCCAGCCAAAGTATCCCGATACTTCAACTATTGAGCCAAAGTGGCTGTGGGGGGGGAGGGGTGGAAGGACCCCCAAGGAGGACGGCGGCAGCCTGAGCGGGCCTTGCTCCCAAAGGATTGTTTTTTGGGGGGTCGCCGCGTTGGCCCTCGGCGGGGCCCCGCGTCGCCGCGGCTGGACGCAGCTCGGAAGACTGGTATTATATCACTCATGTGATTGCGGTAATCCTTGTAATCTTCCTCCTCCTCATCATCATCATTATCCTCCTCGTCCTCCCTCCCTCCCTCCCTCCTCCTCATGCTCAGAAGGCCTGGGCCTCCTCCTCCTCCTCGGCCCTTCCAGGTGCGAGGAGGAGGAGGGGGGGGGGGGAGACAGACGCTCGGGGACGCGAAATATCGTCGTCGTCGTCGTCGTCGTCGTCGTCGTCGTCGTCGCCGCCGGCGGCGGGGCGGCGGCGGGGCTGCCGGCGCGCGGCCTGCGTAGTGAAGATGAGCCCGAAATAATCGTCGTCGTCGTCGTCGTCGTCGTCGTCGTCGTCGTCGTCGTCGTCATCCTCGTCGTCGTCATCCTCGTCGTCGTCGTCGTCGTCGTCGTCGTCGTCGTCGTCGTCATCCTCGTCGTCGTCGCCGTCGCCGCCGCCGCCTCTTCCGTCGCCGTCGCCGTCGCCGTTGCCCTCCCCCACCCTTCCTTCCATCGTCCCTTCTCCTTGATGTGATTCCTCGTTCCCCTCGGCACCCATCGGACTGGCGCTGTTTTTTGTTTTGTTTTGTTGTTTCAGGCGACATCAGCGGCCCCCTTGAAATCTCATCCAGCAGCAAACTGAAGTATCACTGATCCGCACGGCCCAGCAGAAACTCGCGGCGCAGTTCCCGACTCGTCGGGCACCCTCGCAGTCTCAGATCAACCTCGCTGCATTCAGAATTGAGCACCGGCGCCAGGGGAGGCTGAGGAGGGCGAGCAATGATCTCATAATGAGGAGGATGAGGAGGCGGAGGAAGCAGCAGGGTTCATTCAACCGTCCAGGCTCGCGAGCTTCGCAGCGAGGGCGCTCTGAAGAGTGTCGCCCCCCGCCGCCTCCCCGCTGGCGGCCCCGGCGCCCTTGCGCGGCCTACCGCCCTTGGGGGCGGTCTCGGGATCAGCGGGGGGCTTCGGGCTTGGGGTCTCTGCGGCGGCGGCGGGTCCAGTGCTGCCAGGTCCACTTTTCTTCGCGATGATGTCAGCCAGGGCCTGGTCGAACAATGGGTGCCCTGGAGTGTGCATCAGCCTCAGAATCGTGTTTTGTATGAATTTCTCGAGTGCCACCTGGGGCCCACACAGCAACTCAAATAGTGAGAGCGACGAGGACGAGGAGGGGGATAAGTCAAGGAGACGAGGGGGAAGTGGAAGATAATATGATGAGGAGAAGGAGAAGGAGGAGAAGGAGGAGGAGGAGGAGGAGGAGGAGCAGCAGGAGCTGGAGGAGGAGGATTTTGTGTGACCGCAACACCTTCTGGTCATCCGAGTAGCACACTCCGAAGTAGGGCACATCATCGATCAGCGAGTGGATCGCGAGCAGCCCGTTGCAACACGTAAGGTCGATGTTGACCACGCCGTTCACTCCACTGGTCACCTCCTTGTGCACTTTGACATTCATGCCGTGGTAGTTGAAAGGCACGGTATCCTTGCCCCGCGGCCCAGGGTCGGCCTTGGCGTCGTCGCCGGCAACTGCCCCTCCAGCCAATATCCACGCCGAGTTGTACAAGCCTGGCTTATCGCTGTGCTTCACCGTCCACGTGAGCGGATCGTTCCTCGGCGGCTTGTCGAAGTTGCCGATCACTGGGTCCTCGTTGGAGCCCTCGCTGAACACCTTCTTTTTCCCAGGGATGGGTCCCCCTTGCTGAACTGGGAAACAAACTCCATCGTGGGGAGCCCGTAGACACCAGAGTAGTTGCCCCTATGCTCCTTCAAGGACTTCTCGGTGGTCTGCAGGAACAGGATGCGCTTGTCCTTCTTGAGGGCCTTCCCATCTTTGTTCTGAAAGGGCTTGCCGAACTTGTGATCGTTACCGTGCACGCCACCGTCGAAGACGCAGTAGACCACGTTCGGGGGCATCTCGTCCTCCGGCTGATCGTCCTTAGTCAGGACAGCCAGCGACCCTTTGATCATGCGATCGTAGTGCGCATCCCTGAAATGAACAATGCGGAGGTGCCCGCGCGCGTTCGGGTGTCCTGAAAGCTTGGCGTCGTAGAAGACGACGATGTTCGAGTCTTTGGCGACCTGCATGTCGAGCCCCTCCCACCACGTGGAAAGCGCCTCTGCCACGCCTGTTGGGGACTGCGGGTCCACGATGAGCTTCACAACCCTGGTGTACTTGTTTTTCACGATAGTTGCCCAGGGCTTCAGCTGCTCCTGTAGGTCGGGGTCTGAGAGCTTGCCCTTGACGGGGTCTAAGTCGAGCTCATCGTCGTCGTCGGAGGTGAGGAGGTCCTGCGTTGTGACATCGGCAGTGGCATCTGTCGGCGCCGCGTCGCCCTCTGCCACAAGGGCAGTGTAGATGGCGTCGACCTTCTCCTTCAACGGGGACCTGTCGAGAATCTCCCCCACCGGCGAGCCCTGGATTTTCTGCTGCTTGATCTGCAAGTCGAAGTCAACTTTGAAAACGCAGTCCTCGAACAGAGCGATGGCCAACTTAGAGGACTGCTTCAACGCAGTGCGCCAGGACGCGTCCTTCTCGCCGGCCTTGTACCCGACCATACTGCGGTAGGCGTCATGCCCGCTGATCCACGTCTCCAACCTCTGAAGTGTCGATGCGTTGAGGCCCATGTCGTGCACCTTCTTGATGATGCAGTGCCCGAGCTCCTGCTTGGCAATCAGCAGGTCTAACAATCCCTTCCCTCCAGGGAGTCCTCGACCCGTCAGCTGGCGAAGGCTGATCTCGCCGGCCGTGGTCATCTTGGCCGTCACCAGGTCCAGCAGCCCAGCCGTGCACCAGTGGATCAGGTTGCCTGATTGAGCTCTCTTCACCACCGCCTCGTACTTATAGATGCTGTCGAACGGCGTAGTCCCGCTCGAGTCGGCCTCCACCACGATCTTCTGAGTCTGGGCGTTGCTCATGAGCCTAGCCCCCACGGTAAAGCAGGCGTCAACGTACGTCTCCGAAATCTTTTCTGAGTTCGGTGCGAGCTCGACCTTCTCGGCCCACATCTTCGCCGTCCTCTGCGCGCCCACTTCATGCCCGAGCGAGGTCTCGATCACGTCCTTGCTCTCCATGATGTCGAAGAACCTCTGCGTGGCCGTGCGCTTCACGGCGTCGCCCATAGCCGTGATGCTCTCGCGGGACTTGTGAGCCGCCCAGTAGGAGTCCATTCCTGGAGACGACGACGACGACGACGACGACGGTGGCGGTGGCGGCGGCGGCGACGACAACGACGACGACGACGAAGAAGAGACTGGCGCCCCTCGACGACGACGACGACGACGACGACGACGACGACGATGGCGGTCCTGGCTCGACCACTGTGAACTTCACTGGGAAGGTGATCAACCCGCGCCTCAGCATGGCCACCTTCTCTGAAGTGGGGCTAGTGTCGAGTAGCTTGGCCGTGCCTAGGATGACGGCCCAAATCATCTCAGGAGGAGAGGCCGTGACTAAGTTCCCGAACGTATCCGAAACGTCCTGAGTGGCGTCCGTGACGCTGACCGCGGCAGTGAATGTATCTGGAAAGGAGCCTCGGAAACCGTTCTGGAAGACCATGTCGACCAGGGAATTCAACTTATTCATGTTCGTGTGCGCCCTTTTCGCGGGGTTGCCGTTCAAGTCCAGCTGAAAGATGTTGAAGCCAACTGGGCCGTAGGCGTGAGTAGTCGTCAGGCACGCGGTGCACGTATCACCGTCAAAGGGCGCGATCGTGGACGTCTCCGCGGGGTCCCTCTGCTCGCGCGAAAGCAGTGGTAGCGGCATAGCTGTGCCGACATTGCCCATGTCTGGATGGCGCGCGATCTTCTGCTTAGCTGCCGCGACGCGGCTCATCAAGGATTTGTTCATGTTCTGTGTGACCCCGCGCGAGCTGCTCTCAGCCGCACCCGGGATCTGCTTGCCTGCGCCGCGCGAGGACTGCGGCGATCCCGATGAGGCCGAGCCGCCCTCATCCGCCGCCTCCCTGACGTCGCCAACCTGGAGGCTCCCGCCCAGCGTCGAGGCGACCATGTGAGCCGCCTGGCCTGCCTTGCCGAGCCTGGTGACCTTGCGCGGCCGCGGCTTGTCCTCGACTTCGGCCTTCACCTCAGGTTCGGCGGCGGCGTCCCCGTCGGGCGGCGGCTCAGCAAAGGGCGCCATGCCGTCGCCGCGAGACTGGCGGCCCCGACCGCCGCCGCCGCGGCCGCCGCGACCGGCGGCGGGCCTCCTGGCACTGGGGGCCATGGCGGTGAGAAAGCTGGCCTGACTGGCGGAACTCTGAGATCAGAAACACAACTCCCAACTAAGTTTTTAAGCCAAAACGGCTAGAGCAGGAGGGGGGAGAGGAGGAGGAGAAGAGGGCTCCCAGACGTAGGATGCACCGCTCCCGGGCGACCCAGACAGTACTTGCACTTGAGGGGGCCAAGGATTGCACAATCAATGCTGGCATCTGCCCAACGCTTTACCGCGCCCCCGGGCAGCCCAAACAGCACTTGCACAATCAGCACTTGCACTTGCACCGCCTCCCTCCCAGACAGTACTTGCACTTGCCCAAGCAGCACTTGCAATATAATGATGTTTAGGGTAGTGGTTGTCTTAGGTGTTGATAGTTGGTTGCCCTATGTATTTATGGTTACTTGCTAAGCGAGGTGTTTATACTCTGGATTGTCTTAATTGCTGCTGTTGCCAACTGTTGTTGCTGTTTACGTTCTTTGCTCTCCAAGCCAGTTGAGTTTCATTCAACGCCAGAGGAGGCCCTGGGAGTCCTGGATGGCCCGAAAAACTGCGCTCGCCGACCCAATTTGCGTCGTAAGGCGCGTGAGATGACCAGACGATTACACGTGATCTATATGACCTGAGTTGTTTCATGATGCATCGCAATGCGCATCATAAGTAAACTCACGAACGATGTGTTGCGCAAGCTGCGCATCGCCTCAGAATAAGGGCGCGCGAAAACATACATCCACACACCTCGTGCACACGCACAGCATCACAGTTGGAAGCGCGCGTGCTACGACAAAGTCAACATGCGGAGCCTGCGTGCTAGGGGTGTTGCCGCGGATGGGCGAAACCAGCACGCAAAGGCTGTTTTTAATTTTTCGGTCAGAATGAACGCCGATTCGGTCAACAGCATCGGGCAATCAGCGCGGCGGCAGTGCTTTCTTCCACATGCACGCTGCCCACAAGCCCTGATGGTTGATTGAATTGTAGGGCCGCTTCTCCACAACATGTGCCAAGTACTGCCTATACGTCCAGCCAGCCTCGCTGCTCTTCCAGTGCCTTACCTGAGGGGCATTAGTAGTTTCATCGGGCTCAGGGGGGTCCGAGAGCGTTCGTAAGCTAGCCGCCTCCTGGAACTCTTCTTTCACGTGCTATGCCCAGGGACAACGCACAATCATATTCACCGAGAAACAATACCGTCTTGTTGCACCTGAAAGCGTGGACCACTGCACCCACAATGTCGATTTTATTCTCCGTAAACGCTGTCCCCAAGAAAACCGATGGGTCACATGAGAGGATTGCCGCCTGCTTCGCCTCACCGATAAGGAGTTCGTCGCCTTCTTCATCTTGCCAATTACATTGTTTGGGCTTCCACTCGAATGGCAAGTCATGCGTCAAACCCGTAATTGCCCATGATTTCGATTTCACAACTTCTCTATTGACTTCTCCAATGGTGTTCAAATCTGTCTCCCTGCATAACGTTAGGAATGCAACGTTTGGAAGCACCGCGCGAACTGCACCCCAAACCATGGCGGTGTACGGGCCAAGAGAATGATCAACGTGTTCGACTCTGAGAATTTGTTTATATTCTGTCGGACAACAAATATTGCTCATGATTACCAAGCCACCCATGTCGATGGAAGCCAAGTCCAAATCAGCCTCGCACAAAATAAATGCGTCCAAAATCTTGATTTGACAACCCATCCAAGTGAGGTTCAACATGTGGTGTTGCGCCTCCGGCCGTTTGGAGAAACTCACATTCGAAACTATGCAGGCCATGGTGCTTATGCCTGGTGTACGTACAATGCTCTGACACAATAGAGCGGGGCCAAAACGGCTGTGGACGGATGTTGTTGCGTGTTTTTAGTTTTGTGTTTTCTCTTGCGGATGTTTGATATGTTTGCTGGTTGTTTGTTTATGTGCTGTTTGTGGTCATAATCTATATATATATATATCTATATATATATATATATCCCTCTCCCTCTCTCTCTCTCTCTCTCTCTCTCTCTCTCTCTCCCTCTCTCACTCTCTCTCTCTGTAGATACCTCCGACTCCGCCCCCCCGAACCGCCGCCCCGCGGAGGGGCTCGGCAGCGCGCGCAGTGGCGCCCAAACTCGCGCCACTCAGGCGCGCACGCGTCGGCGCACCCCTACAAAAAAACAACTCGGGGTGCCGGCGGCGGGCCACTTTGGGCATTGTATGATCCTCCCCCGCCCCCTCCTTTAGCCTCTCTCTCTCTTTGTGATGTGTCTGTATATACATGTATGCATGTGTGTCTACATGTCGTTGTTGTTGTCATAACATGTTGTTGTTGTCATCACTTGTTGCTGTCATGTTTGGTGATATTGTGTTTGCTGGTGACGCGCGCGCACGCTTGCAAGACAAACAACGACGTCAACAAATACATCGCAGAAACACAACACATACAAGACAACATCAACACACACGCACACACACACACGCACAAGAAACAAACCCCTGAGTGACGAGAGTGCGGCGTCTGAGTAAATTGAGATGAAGTAGGCCCCAAGGAAGAGCGCGGCCGCGAACCTTACGTAAGTTGCAAACAAACCTCAAGCATGCGCGGATGTCTTGAATGAGTTGTGAGGACGTGTCGGGCAGGGGGGGGGGGGTATTATTGGCCAGGGACCAGCGCCAAGGCGCGTCTGCCGACCATGATGATGTAGACGACGGTTGGGATGGTGTAGACGACAACAATGGGGATATTTTTGTCTTCCATATGTTGACGACGATGTTTTGGACTACCATGGATGGTGATGATGACGATGCTGGAGACGATGGTGATGATGCGGTGGTGATGGTGGTGGTGATGGTGATGGCTACGAAATGATTCTGATGATGGCGGGATGGTGATGCAATGCTGATGATGGTGGATATGCTGATACATATTGATGGTGGCGACGATGATGACGATGATGACGGTGACGATGATGATGCTGATACTGGTGATGATGACGACGACGACGATGATGATGATGATGATGATGATGATGACGCGCGTTTGTGCGCGTCTGCCAACCATGGTGACGTAGTCGACGATTTGGATGATGTAGACGACAACGATGGGGATGATTTGTTTTATATAATGGCGACGATGGTTTGGACGATCCTGGATGGTAAGACGACGATGGATACGATTGTGATGATATGGTCGTGATGGTGGTGGTGACAGTGATGGTGACGATATGATCATGATCATGGTGGTGCTGGTGATGAAGATAATGAATGAATGTGATGGCGATGCAATGATGATGACGATGGTGGGTATGATGAAGTTGACGATGACGACGATGGTGGCGATGATGGCGGTTACGATGATGATGATGCTGGTGATGATGACGACGGCGACTATGATGATGAGGATGACGCGCGTGCGACCACCACTAAGGGTCGGGAGACACACGCCCCCCCTGCTATGGCCAGCCAAGAGGAGCCGGCGGTGGCTTTTCCCCGGTCGAGCACTTCGCTCCTGGGCCGCCTCTCCTCGCCCCGCCGGCCGGCCTCCCCGCAGGAGCCGGCGGTGGCCCCCCCCCGGTCGAGCACCCCGCCCCTGGGCCGCCTCTCCTCGCCCCGCCGGCCGGCCTCCCCGCAGGAGCTGGCGGTTGCCCCTCCCCGGTCGAACACTTCGCTCCTGGGCCGCCTCACTTTGCCCCGCCGGTCGGCCTCCCCGCAGGAGCTGGCGGTGGCTTCTGCCCGGTCGAGTACTTCGGTCCTGGGCCGCTTCTCCTCGCCCCGCCGGTCCGCCCCTCCGCAGGAGCCGGCGGTGGCTTTTCCCCGGTCGAGCACTTCGCTCCTGGGACGCCCCGCCTCGCCCCGCCGGTCGGCCTCCCTGCAGGGCCCGGCGGTGGCCCCGGGCCCCGTGGGCATATCGCTGTGTGGTGGCCGTCTGCCTGCCCGTTCCTTTCGGCCGCGGCCATGGGCGCCTTGGCGACGCTGCGCGGCGGCGTGGCAGCTCTGTTCCGCCCTGTCCCTCTGGGAGCGTTGTGGCGCGCGGTCGGCAGCGAGGGCGGCGGCGCTGGCGTTCCACTAGCCTTCGCCGCGGTCAGCCTCGTCGCGTGCCGCGCCCACGTGCCTCCTGCCGCGTGCCGCGCCATCAGCGGCTGCCTCGCGGCCGCCCTTGCTCCGCCCGGGACTCTTTCGCGCATGGCCCTCGCTGGGCTCGCCGCCGCAATCCCGTCCTTCCCCGCTGGCGCCAAGAGAGGCCACCCCTCCCTCGACGTCCGGGAAGGCCCCTGCCGCTTTGACTGGTGCGGCGCTCCTGACACGCAGTGCAGTCCGGGATGTTCCAGGCCGCGCACTCCCGGGGGGCGCGGGTGCCACCGGCCGCGCTGTCCGTGCAGGGCTCACCACAACCTGCCACCTGCCGAAGCACTGCCCAGCTCCTCCGTGCCAGACGCGCCTGCGGCGCCCGCCGGAGCCGCGCCCGAGGAGCCTTCCAGCGGCGCAACCGCGAGCTCTCAGGCTGGCTTGGAGCGACCCCTGAAAGCGCAGCCCGCTGCAGAGGCACCGGCGCCCACGGCGCGCGTGAACGCGCGGGGCTGGCACCATCCTGTGAATTTCGCGGGCCTCGGGGACGAGATGACTGCGCTCTGGGGCAGCACTTGGGGGCAGAATGTGCAGGATGTGGTTGTCGGCGCGGCGCGGAGCTATGTCGCTTTGCGGAAATTGCTTGAACTGCACAAGAAGTCTTCTGACCGGTACAAACCGTTCTCCGTCGACCGCTGCTCGGTGGACACGCCGGGCGGGGCTGGGGGATTTTTCGACTTTCTGCAGAAGAAGAACCCCCGGAAGACATACAAGCACCCGCTCTACGACATTCCACTGCCAGTGTCTTTCCTGAACAGCTGCCTCCTGCTCAATCTCCATTGCGTCGACCCGGTGGACGACCCGGTCCAGCAGCGAGTGCGCGGTTATATCCTGTCGTGTGATGCATCGCTTGGCGAGAAAAATTACTGCGCGACTGTGCTGCGCGCCGTGTTGGTGGTGCGCGCCGCGCGGCATTGCGAATGCGCGGCCTGCGTCGAGGGGAAGTCCTTGCTCTCGGAGGCTGACATCCTCGGGTGCTTCGTGGCTGGGCGGGACAACCGCGACCCCAGTCTCGTCCGGCGGAGCACCAGCGAAGGAGAAACTGGACAACTTCGAATTTCATCGGTCCGTGAGGGCTCGGGGCGCCGTCGGGGACCGGGGGGCGGGGCAGGGGGCGGGGGGCGGCCAGGGGCCCCTGCGGGGCGCCGAGATTCTTCGCCAGACGAGACGATTCGGGCCGATGTAAACGTCGAAGTTGACTGGTGCACTCAGGGTTTTTTTTCTGCGGGAGCAAGTCGGAGTGCCTCCTGCTGGTGGGGGGATCCAGCGTCCTCGACGCTCTCCCCGGCGGCGACTACGCCGATGGCTTCGAGCGCAGCGTCGACCTGCTGCTGCGCTTCTTGTCCGACGAGTCGGCGGGGGACGCGGCGCTCTTAGATGAGATTTGGAACATCTATGCCAACTTCCGCGGGTTCGGCGGGCTGGGCAACGACGCCGACGGATGGGGTGTCAGGGTTCGTCGCGAAGAACGTGGTGTATCAGGGCGTGCGTAACATTCTGCATAGTCTCGGCGCCTCTCGCTCCCACGCTTCGCGGTTTTGCTCGGGCCCCAACCCGTGCAAATTGGCGTGCATCTATCACCAGTCAGCGCGTGTGGCCAGGGACGGGCACGTGGCCATGTACGCCGCCATGAAGATCCGGCTGGAGGATGTGCGCCTGCGGTGCGGCGACGCTGCTGCCTGCCTGGCCGACGTCGACTGCATGGTTCTCCAAGACAACTTATGCAAGCTCGTGGGGGTTTTGCAAACGAGCACGACGGGAAACCTCTACGGCAAGGGGCGCGGCAGCGCGCTGTTGGCGCGCGGCGTGGAGAAGAGGGCGGCGGCCCCTGCTGGCGACTCGGGCGACGAGAGCGAGCCGCGTTGAGGGTCCTTCAGAAAGCCGGCTCCTTGCTCCCATCTTTTCCGCCGCGCCATTCCCCGCGCCTCCGGATTGGTTCGCCCGCGTGGATCCCTGGCAACCCTTCCCGCACTGCGGCTGCGCAGTCAACGTTTCGCATTGCCCTTCCCACTGCGACGAATGGAGTCGGCGCAGCGCCATGCGTGGCTGGGGCGCCAATGCGTTGCAAGCAGCGCATCAGAGGTGGGGGGGGGGAGACCGCAGTGGAACAGAGAGCGCCCCGCCGGGTAGTTGGTTTCGGTTTTGGTTCGAGTCGCGCGCGCGGGTGAGGCGGCGCTGTTCGGGGCCCAGCCATTGTAGAAGCCACAAAGAGCCCAAAGGGCCGCCGGGCCTTGCCCCCGGCCGCGGGTGGCCCCCCTGGTTGCTCCGCTGGTTGCCCCGATGGTTGTCCTGGAGGTTTTCCTGGTGTTTGTCTTGATGATTGGATTGGTGGTTGCCCTGATGGCTGTCTTCATGGTTGGCCTGCGGTGGTCCCGGTGGTTGTCCTGAAGATTGTCCTGATGGTTGTCCTGTTGGTTGTCCTGGTGGTTGTGGTGATGGTTGTTCTAATGGTTGTCCTGATGGGTGTCCTGACAGTTGCCCTGACTGTTGCCCTGATGGTTTCCCTGATGATTCTCCTGGTGGTCCACGTGGTCGTCCTCGCGAATGGCCACGCGGTGTCCCCGCGTTTGATTCTCGCGGTTGTCCCAATGGTTGGCCTGTTGCCTGTTCTGATGATTGTCCTGGTGCGAGCGACACAAGAAAGTTGAAGAAATAATCAAATAGCTCAGAACCATCGCGAATCGACCGACCCCCCCTTTCCCGAATCTCCCTTATCACCCGTGGGGTGGTCCCATCGGCACATTATGTCGGAGTGTTGGGCCCCCTCCCGCGCTAACCGCGTGTACCCTCTGGGCTCCAGGGCCGGTTCTCGGCCTTTTGGGGGGCTCTGTCGCCCACGAGAGCGCTCCAAGAGGACTCGCGATTGCTTCCAGACGGCCCCGGACGCCTCCAAGACGGCCCAAGAGCGCCCCCCCAATAGCGCTCCAAGGGGGTTCAAGATGGCCTGAAGACGGCCCAGGTCGCAGCCAAGAGGCCCCAGGACGGCATCAACAGGGCGTCCGCGTCTCCCGTGGGAGACAAACAATATTGAGTTCCATTAAGGGCCCCGTCGAGTTTTGCATGTTCGCTTTTATTGTTCCCCAGGCGCCCCAAACAGCCCAAGAGGATCCCAGGGGCGCTTCCGGACAGACCACGCAAGTTGGAAAAGGGCGCAAGACGGCGCCAGGATGGCCCAAGAACGGCCCAGACAGCCCCCAGAAGGTTACAAGAGGTCCCCACGAGAGCCCCAGAGGTGTCCAACTTGCGGGAAGCTCCAACGGCAATCGCCCTCAGGCGGCATCCTCCCAGGTGGCTCAGAGGGGCCCAAGATTGCTGAAGAGGAGCTCCAAAAGGCCCGGGACTTCGCCTATGACGGCCCCTGTCGGCGCCCAAAGGACTCCCCCAAGAGGGCCCCAAGCCGCAGCCATCGCCAAAATCTGGCTCCGTGACGCAAGCCCAGAGTCACACTTGCACAATCAGGGCACTGCGGATCCTCAGAAACGGTTCTGGGGACCCCAGTTTCATGCACAGCGCGTTTGGACCACTTGAAGTTACAGGTCCTCGGGCCGACGGAGGAAGAGGAGGAGAAGGAGGAGGAGGAGGGAGAGGAAGAGGAGGAGGATATGGAACAGGAGGAGGAGGAGGATATGGAGCAGGATGAGATCGAGGACGAGGAGGAGGAGGAGGAGGAGGAGGAGGACGAGGGTGGTGATGGCACAGGAGAGCGGGTTGTATTGAAGGAGGAGGGTCGGAGGAACGAGGAAAGACAAACAACCATAAGTTTTGGGGTTCACTTTGATGTCGGGGGAAGTGGTTTGCATAAAAACGTGGTGCTGGTTTCATTCGGGGTGGTTGGCTCTGTACAAACATGTTGCCGTAGAGGGAGTTACTTGGATGTCTGGGGGGTCATAAGGACGTAAGGACGTTGTGCTGGTTTTATTCGCGGTCGTTATCTGGCACCCCGGGCGAAGCCGATGGAAGAGGAGGAGGAGGAGGAGGAGGAGGAGGAGGAGGAGGAGGAGGAGTGTGATGAGGAAAGGGGGGGAGTGAAGGACGCCGTTCTGGTTTACTTCAGAGTTCGATTCCTTGCTGGTTGACTTAGTTTTCTCACTGACGTCGTGCTGGTTTTATTCGTGGGTGGTGTTTACTGGGCAGCCATGCATACGTAGAGGGGAATCAGAGGCTTACTGCTTTGACGTTACGGGTGGAGGCGAGGTGGGAGGGGAAGGAGGAGGAGGAGGAGGAGGAGGTGGAGGAGGAGGAGGAAGATCGAGGCGCGATGAGGAGGGTGGTGATGGTACGGGAGAGCGGGGGGTATGATGGGAGGAGGGTCGGAGGAACGGGAAAAGACAAATAACCATGGTGGGGGTCATAGGGAGGGCGTTCTGGTTGTGTTCGGTGTTCACTTTGATGTCGGGGGAATTGGTTTGCATAAAGGCGTCGTGCTGGTTTTATCCGGGTTGGTTGCCCCTATGCACCTATGCTGCCGTAGAGGAGTTTACTTGGATGTCGGACGGGCCTGGTTTTCCTAAGGACGTTGTGATGGTTTTACTCAGGGTCGTGTTCTGGCACCCCGGGCGAAGGTGAGGGAAGAGGAGGAGGGTCATGAGTACACGGGGGGAGTGAAGGACGCAGTTCTGGTTTAATTCAGGTTTCATTTCCGTGTCAGCTGACTTGGTTTTCTTAATGACGTCGTGCTGGTTTTATTCGTGGGTGGTGTTTCTCGGGCAGCTTTGCAGACGTAGAGGGGAATTAGGGGGTCTACTTCTGTGTCATTTCGGGGGGACGCGAAGGGGGAGGAGGAGGAGGAGGACAAGGAGGAGCGAAGCGCGACGAGGAGGGTGGTGATGGTACAGGAGTCGGGCGGGTACGATGGGAGGAGGGTCGAAGGAACGAGGAGAGACACATAGCCATAGGCCCGTGGTTGCTTGAGGAGATCGTTCTTGTTGTATTCTTGTTTTTTTTTTGGTGTCGGGAGAATTGGTTTTCATAAAGGCGTCGTGTTGGTTTTATTCGGGGTGGCCACTCCTAAACACGTATGCTGGCGTAAAGGGATGCACCTGGATGTCAGGGGGATTTGGTTTTCACAATGACGTCGTGCTGGTTTTATTTGGGGTCGTTTTCTGGCACCCTGGGCGACGCCGACGGAGGAGGAGAAGGAGGGTGAGGCAGAGACGGGAGGAGGAGGGTACCTCATCTTGCTCGTGCATTGTGCCGCAGGAAGCGTTCGCGACTTGTTACTGGGTGAAGAGGGAAAAGGGGGAGGAGGAGGAGGAGGAGGAGCAGCAGGAGGAGGAGGAGGAGGAGGACGACCAGGAGGAGGACGAGGAGGGGAGCACCAACAGCAATTGGAGGGCGTGGTTCAATGACGTTTTCCTGGTTCTGATTCGGGTTTACCTTCGATGGTGAGGGGATTGGTTTTCATAAGGACGTCGTGCTGGTTTTATTCGGGGGTGGGGTGGCGGTTATGCCAAGGGTGCCATGCTGTCGTAATTGGGGGGGGGGGTCGCATAGCTTTGCATTCCATTGCTTCGCACAGCATAGCATAGTAGCATCGTGTATCACAGCGTCTCTTATCATTGCATATTGTAGCGTAGCGTAGGTCAGCACGGCACGGCATAGCATAGCGTAGTGTAGTATCGCGTAGCACGGCATAGCATAGCATGGCATAGGATGGCATATCGTAGCAATCATAGCGAGGCAGAGCAGCGCACGGCACATCATTACACAGACGCCGACGGAGGAGGAGAAGGGGGGGTGAGGCAGAGACGCGAGGAGGAGGGTACCTCATCTTGTTCGTGCATTGTGCCGCAGGAAGCGTTCGCGACTTGTTACTGGGTAAAGAGGGAAAAGGGGGAGGAGGAGGAGGAGGAGGAGGAGGAGGAGCAGGAGGAGGAGGAGGAGGAGGAGGACGACCAGGAGGAGGACGAGGAGGGGAGCGCCAACAGCAATTGGAGGGCGTGGTTCAATGACGTTGTCCTGGTTCTGATTCGGGTTTACCTTCGATGGTGAGGGGATTGGTTTCATAAGGACGTCGTGCTGGTTTTATTCGGGGGTGGGGGTGGCGGTTATGCCAAGGCTGCCATGCTGTCGTAATTGGGAGGGAGGGGTCGCATAGCTAGGCATTCCATTGCTTCGCACAGCATAGCATAGTAGCATCGTGTATCACAGCGTCTCTTATCATTGCATATTGTCGCGTAGCGTAGGTCAGCACGGCAACAGCCAACAGGCACCCAAAAGGCTTCCAGGACGTCTCCAATATGCGCGGAGATGCCACTAGGAGGCGCACAAGAGAGCCAACCCTGCCTCCAAGACGCCTCCGAGACGGCTTTCGGGCCCTCCATTTTGGCTCAAGCTCAAGCCGTTTGAGCTGAAGCATACAAGCGGATCTCGGTGCACTCCGGCATCGCACGTACACATCGCCAGACCTCTTGCTCTGAGGCGAGCCGCCGCTCGTTCCAGGATGCGTTGGGCCAAACACATCGCAATCATGCTTTCCATATTCAGTCACGCGGGCTCGCTGCAGCTGAACGCTGACGACAAGAGAGGCGATGCCGACGGCAAGGGGGCCGAGCGGACCAACGCCTCTAATTTTCCATTAATCTCCCCAGTCATCTACCCCTTCGATCCGAATAATCTCGAAGATCGCTACATACTACCAGCCCAGCAGAACATCGTAGACCTGGGCTACGGAGGAAGCTGTGAGCGCGGGTGGTACGACGTCCAGGGGCAGGGCATCTGCAACGACTATTGCAGGTGGGTTGGAAATTGTGGATGTGGAGGCAGCTGCTCAAGGTTCGACTGCGCGCTCGCAGGGTCGAGCAGCATCTACACGGGAAACGACTATGGGTGGGCGAGAGGGAGCCAATGCCCGCATCAGGGTGCTGAGACGAGAGTGCTTACCGTGACTGGGCAAGTCGGTCCAAGCAGCGCTATGTTGTCCCAGTACAATAATGTCCGTGCAGTCCTGCACCGAAGCGATTTCACTTTGTGGATTTTCGCTGTCTACCATGGGGGCTACACCAAGATGGTTGGTGTAACCATAGTGAACGGAGTTGAAACAGGTTCGCGATCTGCCCGATATGTGTGAGGGTATCACAGCCTGACGCGTGCATCAATCAGCAGTCTCTGGGACAGTGGTACTACAATGGCATATTCATGTGGAGAAGGATACTGCCTCCACTACGTGCACATTGACCCGTCGGCAGCATGGACGCTCACGCAAGCCGTGCGAGTGGGCAACACGATCCGAAAAATATCCAGTGGGTCGGCGTACGATGCCTCGGCGAGTGCGCACGGCATTGTAAGCGTAAGCATCCAGGCTGAAGAGACATGGGCACACAAACGGGTTGGTCTCACCGCTGATCTGACAGACAATTCGAAATACCCGAATGGAGCATATATAGGCCTTTTCCCAGCAGGGCGAGTCTACATACCTGGTAGAGCCGACAGCACATACACGACGCATGATGTGTTCAGGTTTCAGTGGGAGGCGAACATGATTGTCGTGTACAAAAACGGTGTGAGGCTCCATTCTTGGTCGGTGGCAAGCCCCCCAAGGGGTGTGCTGTTGTATTTCTACGAGTACGGCGCGTCATTGCAGGTGTTTACTTCGCCGGTGTCCCTTTGGCAGCCAGACAACACGTGGTACGTCGTCGACGGCTCAACGGTCTCAAGGAGTGCGGCTTCATCATGGCTCTGGAGGACCATAGCGTTTGGCCCATGGATAGAGTCAGGGACTTACACGGCATCGTTTGCATATGTCGCGTCGTCCCATGGCTGTACTCAATCGCCAGGCTGCAGTGTAGCATTCGGTGTCGTATTCGAAGGGTACGATCTTGGACAGAGCGGATGCTACCACAGCAGCGTTGATGGGTACAATTGCCAATCTGGTCGAGGTCTCCAACTTCTAGGCAACAAGTGGGGTCAAAGTAGTTGGCAGGGTTGTTCAAATCACGGTATTCAAGTTGGTGATGTGATCCATGTGCAGATCGACATGTCCCTCGCAACAATGACCGTTGCCGTCAACGGTGTAAATTGCCCACCGTTCCAATCACTTCCAAGTCAAGTTCGACTAGCGGTATCCACAGAAAGGGATGGAGACATTGTCGCTGCATTGCTGACATCATCGATCTCCACGACGCCCAGCCCCACGGCCAGCCCTACGGCCAGCCCGACGGCCAGCCCGTCGGCCAGTCCGACGGCCAGCCCGACGGCCAGCCCCACGGCCAGCCCTACGGCCAGCCCGACGGCCAGCCCCACGGCCAACCCAACGCCAAGCCCCACGCCCAACCCGACGCCCAGCCCCACGCCCACTCCGACGCCCAGCCCCACGCCCAACCCGACGCGCTACCCGACGCCCTACCCGACGCCCAACCCGACGCGCTACCCGACGCCCTACCCGACGCCCTACCCGACGCCCAACCCGACGCGCTACCCGACGCCCTACCCGACGCCCTACCCGACGCGCTACCCGACGCCCTACCCGACGCCCTACCCGACGCCCAACCCGACGCGCTACCCGACGCCCTACCCGACGCCCAAACCAACTGCCAGCCCGACAGCCAGCCCAACGGCAAGCCCAACTGCCAGCCCGACGGCCAGCCCGACGGCCATTCCGACGGCCAGCCCGACCCCCGCCCCGACGGCCCCCCCAGCGGTGTACGGTGAGCTCACTGCAACGGTGCTCGACCCAGAAGAGTTTGTGGCAAATTGTGCAAATAACCCGGATATTCAAGCATCGATTGCGACCTACCTCGATGGTGAACTTGGTAGCACCGTCGACCCTCAGGCCATCAATGTGTTCTGCAAATTGGTTGATGGCAACGTCACCCTTGGGTACGAGGTCGAAGCCAGCTCGTTTGACGATACTCTTCAAGATATAGGAGCAGCTCTAGCAGGCATTGTAGCGGGGGGTGTTGGGGCTGCGTTGTTGTCGCTTAGCGGTGCGATGTTTGCAGGTGCAGCACCTGCGCTTGGGGGACTTGGAAGCCTGTTTGGCCAATTCTTTCAGGGGAATAGTCCTCCTGCTCCAAGCCCCCCCTCTTATACGCCGCGACGGAGACGTTCGACGCCGAGACGGAGACGTTCGACGCCGAGCCCCACGGCCAGCCCAACTGCCAGTCCGACGCGCAACCCAACGCGCAGTCCGACGGCTAGCCCGACGGCCAGCCCGACGGCCAGCCCGACTACTAGCCCCACGGCCGGCCCAACTGCCAGCCCGACAGCCAGCCCGACGGCCAGCCCCACGGCCAGCCCTACGGCCAGCCCTACGGCCAGCCCAGCTGCCAGCCCGACAGCCAGCCCAACGGCAAGCCCAACTGCCAGCCCGACGGCCAGCCCGACGGCCAGCCCAACTGCTAGCCCGACAGCCAGTCCGACGCCCAGACCCACGCCCCACCCGACGCGCTTCCCGACGCGCAGCCCCACGCCCCACCCGACGCGCTTCCCGACGCGCTACCCGACGCCCTCGACGCCCAACCCGACGCGCTACCCGACGCCCTACCCGACGCCCTACCCGACGCGCTACCCGACGCCCTACCCGACGCCCTACCCGACGCGCTACCCGACGCCCTACCCGACGCCCTACCCGACGCCCAACCCGACGCGCTACCCGACAGCCAGTCCGACGGCCAGCCCGACGGCCAGCCCGACGGCCAGCCCGACTGCTAGCCCCACGGCCGGCCCAACTGCCAGCCCGACAGCCAGCCCGACGGCCAGCCCCACGGCCAGCCCTACGGCCAGCCCTACGGCCAGCCCGACGGCCAGCCCGTCGGCCAGTCCGACGGCCAGCCCGACGGCCAGCCCGACAGCCAGCCCAACTGCTGGCCCGACGCCAAGCCCGACGGTCTGCACAACGGTTCAAGGTGGTTTTGCCCTCACCGTCCCCGACCCCGAAGAATTTGCAGAGAATTGTTCCAACGGTACAGACGTGCGAGTTGCTCTAGAAACGTCAATCGCGACAATTTTCAATGGCACCGTCACCCCTGAGGACGTCTCGGTGTTTTGCGTCTTCGGGCAGCGTGTCGACGAGCACCGTACCAGCAACGTCACCATTCAGTACGACATCGCCGCGCCTGTCGGACTCGTCGACTCGATTCGGGACAGCGCAGAAGTGCTTTTGGGCCCCCAGGCTTCCAGTCAGGGCTTGGCCAGTCTCGTCACCATCATCAGCGACGAGCTGTCCAGCACTGCGCCTGCCGCGGCCAGCAATGCCCCCACGGAGGCGTTCGGAGGCTCGGAAGAGATTGCGGTCGATCACGCCGGAAATTGCACATCAAGCCCTGCAGCGAGCCCCGCGGCTGGCCCCACGGCCAGTCCGACGGCCAGCCCGACGCCCACGCCGACCCCCGCCCCGACGGCCCCCCCGATGGTCCAGGGCGAGTTCGCTGTGACGGTGCCCGACCCCGAGAAGTTTGCGTCAGATTGTTCCAGCAGCGCAGACATGCGGGAGGCTCTTCAATCATCGATCGCGAGTTACATGAACGGTACCGTAGCCCCTGAAGACGTCGCGGTGTTCTGCAGCATTGACAGTGGTAGCCGTCTTGACGCCACCGTCGAGTACGAGGCCACGCGCCGCTCGCTGGCCGGCAACGTCACCATCGACTACCGCATTGTCGTGCTGGAAGAGACGGCCCATTCGGTTCAGGACAGCGCGACAGAGCTGTTGAGCTCCCAGGCTTCTGGTCAAGACCTGGCCAGGCTTGCTGCCCTTATCAGCAGCGCGCTCTCCGCCACTGCGCCCGGCGCGTCCGGCAACGCTCCCCTGCAAGCCATCGGAGGCCCGGCGGCCCTAGCCGTCATCTCAACGCAGCCACCGACGCCGCGTCCGACGCCTCTCTCGACGCCGGGCCCCACGGCTTCCCCGGGGCCCGTTCCACCGTTGGCTGTCTCCAGCGGCGCCATGACTGCCACAGGGGACCCACACCTACGAAACATCTACGGCGAGCGTTTCGACCTGAGGAGGCCTGGCAAGCACACACTGGTCAACATTCCAAAGGGGGAGCGCGCTGAGAGAGCCCTGCTTCATGTAGAGGCTGAAGCGGTGCAAATGGGTATGCAGTGCGCAGACTTGTACTTCCGAGAATTGAACATGACAGGGGTGTGGGTAGAGGCTACGTGGTCTGGCGGTCTTCACTTTCACGCCCTGGATGTGAGCTACGGAACATCGAAGTGGAAACATGTTGGGAAGGTAGATGTAAAGGTGGCTCATGGGCGCACGAGGGAGGGGATCCAGTACCTGAATGTTTACATCAAGCATCTCGACCGTGCTGGGTTTGCGGTAGGGGGTTTATTGGGTGAAGATGATCACACGCAGGCGACAATGGCTTCCCGTGCATGTGTTCAGCGTCACAGCGTGTCCCTTCTTGAATTCAGTCGTTGAGTGGGCAGTGCTTGCGCAGCCGCTGAATGGCAATTGCGCCTGCGAAAGAGGATGCAGCCAGACTCTAGGACTTGGAGCTGGGCTCATGGATCCTAGGCTTTAAGTCCACCATAAGCGTGAGACGCGCCAAGCTGCGCAGGCGCTCATTACCCAGATGCATGGGCTCGTTCCACGATTGTTGAGTGTGGGGGCCGAACGGTCTTACAGAGGACGGAGGATAGGAGGAGGGAACTGAGCTCGTTCAGTCTACTGGTTGCCCCGAGCCTGCCAGCGTGCCCTGGTCCAACGTGTTCGTCTGGACGTCTCAGGAGCGGTGACTGCTTTTGCCTTTTGCTGGAAGACACACGAAAACAAAGGTACCTACGATTCCAGACCGTGCTCCCGAACAGCCCGCCAAGAAGCCCCAGGAGACACGGATGGCCTTTTCTCAAACATTGTATCCTCAATCCTGGGGCTTCTCAGGGAGGTTCTCTTCTGCGTGTCGTTGTCCCCGGCTTACACCTCATCCCAATTCTGGGGGAGCTCCTCTCAAGCACTTTATCCTAAGTATTTGCGCTCACTTGGAACCGCGTCATAAGTCCTTGGGCTTCTCTTTGAGTTTTGTTTATGTCCTTAGGCCCCTCTCGAACACCTTATCCTACGATCTTGGCTCACTGTCAGTTTGCTTGTTCCTATCATTGTCCGAGGGCTCCTGTCAAGTCATCCTT